ATATATATATTTGTATGTATATATCTGTGCATATGTAGATATACGTATATTTATATGATGCGAGCTTACACTTATATAATTGTTTTGTCAAGTATTTACAATTGCAGAAGGGTATGATCATTATTTTGTAGGCACTATGGCTTTGGACGTACACTAAGTTGTACGTTAGGGTACATCCTTGAGGGACTTCCAGACAATTTTTTCAATGTATCCTTGAGATCTCGAGGAACAAGAAGAGGTACGTCTCTACATGAATCTCGGTTAATAAAACAATTCCAGCGCCACATTCTCGACAGTATTCAAATGACTACTATCAAAGACTCTCTTTAAAAAAAATCCTGTAATCAAATTCAGAGTAGTATTGCGTCTTAATCTTAGGATCTCAGACAATATAATCGTTGCAAACCGGGATTAAATACGCATTTAAATATAACAATATAGTCTGTCTAAGATCTTATTTTTGCTTATTTTTGCCACTATTTGTATGTACGTTTGAATTTTATCTTGTTCGTCTTTAAACATCGATAAAAAGCTGATCAGCCTGTAACCCCTTCTATAAATCAACTAATAATATAATCGTCTAAGAACGACGATTACTGGTTATCGCGTATCATTCCTCTCCCACTAAACAACGAAGAACAAAACAATATATTTAAAACGAAAAATGACATTTATTTATTTATCTTGATTCGACCAGTTGGTGTTACAAAAGCACGCGAAATATGACTATCATACTGCCATATTTATTAATAAGCAATATGTATCTGTTTAAAAAAAGTACATTGTTCGGGAGAGGTAAACGACGGATTCCATTGTTGCATATAATTTGCATGCAGCAAAATCCAAATATGCACCCAATAATGCACACAGTTTATGATAATTCTCGCCATCTCGTCTTTCCACTCTCCCTCTCTTCGTCAAACGAAACTTTGTACCAAAAGGAATTTGATGACTCTAACCGTCTTATTCATCTTACAGTTGGACAACTACGAAAAGCAATTAGGTCGTTGTCCGACACGAGTACAGTCTCTGTCCTCTCTCTAAATTCCCAAATACATTCTCTCCTTCATCTCTTAGCTCAATTTACAATATTATTACAGATTGCACGAAAAAGCGCCTTCGCTCGTCAATTTCTAGTTTTTTCTCCTTATCCTTTTTCTATAACATACATACATACAAACATGCACATACATACATACACGCATACGCATACATACTTTGCTTTTTCATTCCTTTCGTTTCTCCTCGTCTAATATCTTCGCAATCCATTCCGCAAGCGTGATCGACGCAGACCATATCAAGCCGGAAGCACGCGTTAACAATATCGTGATATGTTTATCCTATGTCCCGCGACCTTTTTTGTTCAGAGTTTGCGATTCGTAGTAAGCAATTAAAATAGTATAATAGATATTTCAAAATTAAATATACAAAAAAACGCAAAATTAAAACATTCTAACGCAGGCGGGCATTTCTAATTCTTTATAATTTTTATCTAAGATAGATAATAATAAAATCAGTTTATTATATAAAATTGTTTTACGGAATATATAATTTATCCGACATAATTTGCACCTATATGATTTGTCTTTGGTTTCTTTGAGATAAAATTCACGAAATTATGTCTGGCGTGTCTATCTGGTTAAAAAATTCGTTTTAATTTGAAATGTTTCTTGTACTTATAATAAATACAAATTATACAGAAAAGAAGTTTTAGATAGAAAACTATTTGTTTAGAGAAATAATAAATAAATGAAAGCATTTTGCATGCTCGTGATTCTTTACGAAGATCGACGCGCGGAACGAAACTGCCAATCACCACTGCATAACACGAAGGCGCATTGTAAAACTGACGAAGCAATTCCGTCCATTTGAGCATGAGGGACAGCTCAAAAAAACACGAACGCTCGTGCAATAAACGATGATATTCCTAGAATTTAAAATCGAAGAGATCCGAAAGACCCTCCTCAGTGCCTAACGAGAACGAGTAGTCGTTTTCGGAGAGAGGTGGTTCCAAAGTCAGTAGTTGTTCTCCAAAATCGAGAATACTCAGATCTGTAACAAAAGACGAAACGAATGACGAAATTGTCATCAAATCCAGAATTATTTACAGATTTAAATTATTGTCAGATTTGAGAAAATAATTTTGAAAACTATCACACATGTACAAAATTAAATAATTATTAAGAATTCTTAATTATATTAATAAGAAATATGTAATCAGTAATGTGACATATTTAAATTAATTTCAATCAATTTTCTTGTAATGCATCACAAACATTTTATTTTATTTAAAAAGTTTGCAATCGGTTATAAAGCGTTAAACTATAATCGCATATTGTTAATTTCTAAGATTACATGTTAAAAGCAGTTTGTCAAGTTTGCTTACAAGCTTTTATTAAATTTTAAAGATAACAATACGGCAACATTTTTAAAATAGATTATTTGATCATGTAAGAAAAGTGCTACTTGTAGAATTAAAGTAAAAAATTGTTGCAAAATTTTGATTGATCGTATCTCCAAATTATGTACATGTTTTCCTCCAAAAATTGTTGAAAATAATAAAAGATTTTTATGGAAACCGCATTTGTATTTTTTTCATTATGATAATACATTAACAATTATAACATTACATAAAATATAATAAAAGCCAATAGTTAGTATAAATAACGTACCTTTGCAAAATACGAACTTTGCTGTTTAAAACCGTTACCTAACTAGAACTCTGCCTGTGATGTGATTTTGATAATTTTAACACACAAGTCACAGCCAGAGCTCCATCAGGGTACGGCCATCATCCATTGGTGAAAAGGCAATGAAATATTCAAAAGAAAGGTAATACAAGTTATTAAATTACATGGAAATACTTAATTTCCACTACCTTTCTTTTGAATGATGTTTATCCACGAATATTTATTAAATTGCGGCATGCAATATATTCTTTTCGAATAAGAAAGAATATACAATACAATTGCAGAATAATTATTATATGTAATATTTCTGCGGAACTTTTAATATAAAAAGAACATTTAATAAATTGGAAATATTTTTAGTAATACAGAGACAAAAGGTAAAATTTAAAAATGTTTTATTAAAAAAAAAAATACAATGTATATATAAAGCATTAAATTAAATGTACATATATATAAAGCATTAAACTAAATAAAGCATTAGAAATTATGCGCAAGAATTATAAGCAAAAGAATATACAAAATACGCACAAGATATTATAACAATGTTAACATTTTAAATATCAACAATACTATGAATTACAAATATTACAAACGAATATTAGAAGCGAAAAATCATGATAATTTTTTCTTTTAGTATAGAAATAAAATATATTAAAAATTCCTTTCTCAATCATTTTGTATATTAATAAATGTATGTATAATTTAAGCTACATGCGTGTTAAAATATCAACTTTATAACAGACGATAATAAATTAGAGCTGTTTATTAATTCATAAACCAAAGAGAATCTGATACATTTATTCAATTTGTATTCAATAAATACATTTTATCAATTTGTATTCAAAAATAGAATGATATGTATAGAATGATATGTAAAATAATAAATTTATTTTAACATATGTGCAAGAAGAAATAACAATAATAAAAAAAGATTTTTCGTTTTATTCTTGATAATTCAATATAATATTCAATTGTAATAAGAAAATAAAAATTTTAATACCAATTATAATGAATATATTATCGCGTAACCCGCATATATAATATTTTTTCAATATTTAATATTAGAAATATAAACCTATTTCGACAATAAAAAGAAATAAAAAAATATTCTATTTACAAAATAGTATATTTTTAGACATCATAATAAACTCGAGCAAATATAAAAAGAAAATTTATAATTTTCCATTTTTGATGAACATTTATTTTGTTCTTAAATATGCGTTTTAATTTACAATTTATTAATATAGTATGCAAAATTGCCTCTGTAATAATATAAGGGAAAGATATTTTGTAAAATATTTATGAAAAAGATCTACAATTTACTGACTGTAATATAAAAACAAATAACTTTTGCGTAAGCAAAATAAAATACTGAATATAAACTGTTTTGCTTGAACAAAAGTAAATAAAGAGTATTAATTAATAATCTACTAGAACAAGAATATTAATATTAATTAATAATCTACTAGAAAAAGCCTATTTTAAAAAATGTTTTTTCTTTCTTTTAAATTAATTTAATGCAGACTTTACAAAATTAATAATACTGATTAGTAATATTGAATTAATAATACTGATAAGATATCATATATGTTCAAGAATCAAGAAACAGAGTTAGTATCAACATTTTACATCATCCATAAACATTAATCATATACGATAGTATTATTGATCATGTAAGATTTGCATAAATATTCCTATTATTTTTGATAAATTGACTACTAATATAAAATGCAAAAAAAAAGCTTTTTTTCGAAAAAGAGAAGGAAAGCAAACCAAGCAGCATTAATTCCTGATAATCTTACCTGAGCTGATTTGGTCCTCTGTTTGGAGTTGGAATTTGCCACCACCCATTGGTCCATAATCATCGGAATCGCATAAGAACGCATCCTTCATACTTGTTATATTGGTAACTGTAGTTACAGGATAAAGACGAGTATTTATGAAGCTCTCGTCAGAAGGTACTGGCTCGACTTGTACATCGCTTTCCCGATTAACCAACAATTCAGGAGACAAACAAGATATATCAGATTCTTTTGATTGAGGCACAGATTGCGTTGTCGCATACCCGGAATAGGGTAACGTTTTGACTGTGGGATCCTCAGGACATAGAAACACATCTATCTCTCCATGTTCCGATTTCATATGCATCTGAAGCTAAAGATATTGATATGATTAAAATATGAATCACACAACAATTTATATAAAATATATTTTTCTTTGATCACAAAGAACATAAAATACATTTCTCTCGATATTTAAGAAAGCAATAATATGATAATATATATAAAAATAATATAAAGTTTATCGATATTTTACCTTTTGTTGACCAAAGTTATTAAGCGGTTGTGGAACATGGAGGGTTGCTTCCGGCGGGGCTTTCACAGCCATAATAACTTGGTCTTTGTACATTGGGACTGAACGTAAATCATGATACGTCACATAAGCGTATTGTCTGTCCGCGCAAAGCTCGCGCAGGTTTTTGTCAGCACCGTGAAGCAATCGATCTAAAGTGTTCTCTTTAGCTTCCAAATCTGCAACCTCTCTTCTAAGATTAGCGATATCATTCCGATTGTTCGGTAACTGACCGCCCCTGTAACAATTAATGTTTTAAATGTAATCTCTGATTTACATTTACATCTTATTACATTTAATCTCTGATTTTAAATGATAAATGACTAATATAAAATGAATAATATATTAGTAGATAACGTACTTCCATTGGATATTGTTTTTACTTTTCTTCTCTAAGATACCGATGCCCTCTAAAACATTAGTAATGTCGTATATACGACGTTTTTGTACCTCCAACTTCTCTGACGCTACATTCAAATCCACCACACCATCTTGACTGCTCTCGACTAAATGAATAAATTTCTTTGTGAGCAAACTCAAAGACGTATCATACCGTGTCCTTTCTACAGTTTTACCTAGTGCAACAAATAATTACATGATTTCTTTGATATGCAGAAATAAAGACAGAAAGATTATAAGATAAAGTCAATGAAAGCGATATTTACTTTTGGTAGGTGTATGACCAGTTAAAGAATTCGAGCCAGATCTTCTACGTTTCCCTCTGGGTGCTTTGAAGGCAGATTGACTGGGACCAGTTGTCCCTACCTCCAAATTCAGTCTTCTTTTTACTGCTTGAACTGATATCTGCCAAGAAGAGAAATAAATTGCAATTTCAATTAGATAACACCATTACATTAATTTAATGCCTTTATGCCTTTAAGAATATTAATACTTATATATTAATACTTGGATATTTTAAGATTAGAGTAAAAAATCTAGTTATTATAAAAATGTTATCTTATTAATTTATTATCATTCATGAATTATCACCTCAGCTCTTGGTGGTGGTTGTGTGGGTTTCCTCGTTATCTGATAACAAGGTGTTTGTCCATACTGATGATCCTGTAAATGAGGGCTTGGAGTTTCCTCCGCTACTTTTGGAGGCTGTATTTCATCCAAGGAACCATCATCCAGGAACTCGGTCTTTACTGTGTAAAAACATATTATCCAAATAAGCTAATCCAAAAGAAAACCAGTGACAAAGTAACACAAGTCTTGAATTATGTTTTTGTCACTCACATAACTTTGTTTCAACCATGTCTGGTGTAACAGGCCTGTTTGGATCATCCAAGATCACTTGTCTCCTTACCCGAGGCATCCTGGTAATGTGATTGTATCTGAAACAGTAAGTTATACATGAAACTGCACGATTGTTAAATTACAAAAAGCTGCACGATATTTTTCTAATAAAATAATTATGTTTGTTTTCACAAAATGCAGTAACATTAATAACACCCAAAGTAAGAGTATTTCTAAAGGGTAAAGTAACACAAACACATAAACTTTGATACAAATAAGCAGAAAACGTATTAATGTCTTCTGTCCGCATAAAATGCAACGCAGATTAACGCGATCGGACATTTCAATGAGATCACATATATCCGCAGATGCGAGTCAGACGATGCAAGCTGAACCTACATGTTCGTGATCGAACCAACGCGAAACCACGCGGACTCGCAAGTCGTATAACGTGAACATAACCGGCCATTCGGCACGCGAAGAAAGGATAGACGATAACAGGCAGCGCAACAAACCTATTTCTAAGCACACTCTGCATTTTCGGCCGTTAACCGCTGCTGCTTGCCACGCGTGTGTGTAGTACGGCGTGTTGCACGTGCGGCCGCTGCGGCGAGTGTCATTTTTAAATCCCAAGGTTTTTCACTTCTCGCACGGGGACGGAAGGGAGGAAAGGAGGGAAAAAAGACACGCCGCGTTGACGACGATCCGGGCGACCTGTCCGCACACCGGGCGCAAAGGAGACACTATGGTATCACACACACACACACGCACGCACACACACACACACACACACACACACACATA